ATTTTCTGTCATATGGGATGAATACTATAGCACTATTTAACCGAGCATTTTTTTATAAATGGGTGGGCCCCATCAATTTAAGTTCTGAAAAAAAAGTCTCTGGAATTCAATTTCATCCCAGGTTTCCATCATATAATCTCTGTGCTGCTACTAGGTTTCATGTTTACCAAGCATTTATTAGGACAACAAAACAATTCTGACTAAGGCCTAATGAGCATTGTCTGGCAGGAAAAGGCATTATACAAAAGCATAAATCTCAGGCTTATTCTACTTATGACTTCCTGAGTTCAAAGAAGTGACTTTGTAAAGCAAACTGAAAAAGTGAGGGAAGGTTGTAAAAGCTGTGTGGATGTTGATGCTCATAAAATGTAAACCCAGATTAGCCATGGTGCTAAGCAACAATTTCCACTGAAATCAATACTGGCCTGAAAATCAGACCAGTATTTAATGAATTAGAAATTTGAAGAGAATCTCCTGTAAAAGCAATGTTGGTTGATCTTGTGAGAAGACACATAGGTCAAAGTAAGAATCCTTTAAGAGGTCCTTAAGATATAATGTCTTAATTTACAATAAGCTGTCTTAGACTGTCGTGCTTCATACGTGCATACGCTGCATTTGCAAATAGCAAACCTACAGACCCTGACTGACTACTATCACAATGTCATTACCAACTGCTGTTGATGATTACATCACACTTATGGCATACAACAACATGCCAGGCAGGTAGCAGATACTGCTATTTCACTCTTTCCTTGTATGTATAAACATAATAAACATAACCTGGTCATCTCACCTTGATTTACCTTCTGTTGAGGCAGGTAACCCAGGTCACAGAAATTTACCAATTTTTTTTAATCCAGTCAAAACATTTCTGAGGTTCAACAAAATTTTTATAAATGTTCTCCATTGGTTTTTATTTCAGCAGTCTCTGTTACTTTCTGGTTGGATTTCTGGTCAGGGTTCAGGACAGTATACTGTGTAGGACCCAGTTTCCTGTGCAATCTGGGAAGTCTGTGAAGATGAGCTGAGTCCTGGCATTAGAATATTCCAATGTCCCATGTTGAATTTTTGATACTTAGCCTGTCCTCTCCTCAGTTGGCTGTGCTGCATCATTGTCTGTCCTTAGCAATAATGTATCAAGCTATTAATCATTCATATATCAATGGCTCTTATCATACAGTATAACTTGTTTTCTCTTGATAAAGAGTAGTTGAGAACTAAGTCTTATGTACTTCATCCTATGTATTATGCCATTTTACAGAATCAGGCACAGAGAAGTGAAGTAACACAGACAATATTTTATTTGTTATTAGACTCCCCATAGTGTGCCACTTACAGCAATAACCTGTTTTCTTGCTCTGAAAACATTGCTATCTTCTTACAGCATGTCACAAGAAGCAGGGTTATAAAAAGCTTTTTTTTTAAAAAAAAAGCAGAGTAAGTTCTTAGAATTGTATGAATTCATGATTTGCACAACTCCTGTGTATTTGTAAAGAGCGTACTCAAAAGCATCACTGTATACAATGAACACAAAAATGCTTGATCTTTCTTAGATATGAACCTTATTTGTTATTTACAAATGGATAAGATGTATGTAAGCTATTTCTGTTATGTTACCCTCTGCTGGGACCAAAGAGACACAGCCCCCCCTTGGTTGCATTAAAGCCTCAAAGTGACAAATAAAATGGCTTTCAACCATGCAGGCATAATTGCATCCAGCCTGGTGCCTTCAAAGGGAACATAGAATAGTTGCTAGAGCAGTTCTTAAACTAGCAGCATAATATCCTCTACTGCATTTGTGCACAGCTGCATAAGCCTTGATGTCCACACAGAATAAAGAAGTGATGATAAATGCACCTTTCCTGTTATGGCTATTTGTGTCAGGAGGATACCTAGTGTGTAAATAAAGATAGGGCTTACACATGGCATAGATACTTAGTCCTTTGGAACTTAGATTTACATTTTTTTCTGGGTTTACTCTAAAGTTTATTTTGTTACCTAGGAAATTTTAGAGCTTGAAAAACATGTGCCTCAGGATGGTATTTAAGTAGATCGATAGGCAGCAGCTGGCTGGGAGTTTTGAGGATCTGCATTTTTTGCAGCTGGATGGATGGATGCAGTTTGGTGTCTTTAGTGTTTAAATCTTTTAGTTTATCCAGTCTAGTTTAGTTTTAGTTATTGTTAGCAATAAACAGTACTTGGCTCCAAACTTGACACTTCCCTTAATCACTAGAGAAAGATACATCCGTTCGTGTCTGTCGGGGTTACTATAAAGTTGGATCTGCTTCCTTGACATATTTACTTGTGATCATGGATACAAATGGTCACGTGAATTACAGTTAAACAAAGAGTCAGACCCTGCTGATATTTCTACCCTTTGGAGGAAGAACTGGGACCTCACGCACAATGCAAATGCATTGCTCTGCTGGCAGGTCTCTGACATACTGTAAGTGCTCTATCAAGAAGTTTTCACATAGAACTAGCAACAAAGACATGTTCATGGAAGTACAAATTCTAAAGGTAATTGTGTTTCCATTTAAAACATTGGTGTTTGAAAAGTAGTATACTTAAGATCATAAATTGGATAGTCTTTTATGTTAGTGTTTACCAGAGTATTCTTACGATAGCTTGACACACCTTAAATGTTGGAATTATAACAAGCACAAGAAACAACAGAATGACTCAAGGCTTATTGGAGGAAATTGATCCCAAATACAAAAAATACTACAAAGCTTAAGCAGTATTTAAGCCCTCAAATAATACAACACAGTTTTGGCATAAATCAAGCTGAGGAGGAGGAGTTATATATTTTGTACCACTCAGCATCGCATGGTTGTATCAGCTCTGGTTTCAGCTACAGTAGCAAATTTCAAGCTGCATATAAGATAAAATAAGAGTCCTCTTGTTCTGTGTTTCTAATAGACTCAATGTCCAGTCTAAAAATGTATTCCATACAAACAAATCAAGAGAAGCAACTTCTTATCCTACTGTGGCAAGTAACAAAAGAAAAAAAAGCAGAAGTCCATTTGAAAGAAGCAAAAATATCTTGTCAGGTAATTGAGGAAATTACAAAGGGTAATTGCATGTGACCTCTTACTGAGATATACAGGTTCTTCCCAGAATTAGAAGGGTGGCTGCATCAAAACAGCTTCTGCCTTAAGATTCTGCACATGAGAAGTCAAGTTCAAATGTGAAGTTTTGCCATGATTTCTGTGCACCCAGCTCATGGCAAGGGATTAACTCCCATTTCTGCCAGCTGAGGATATGAATTTATAAGGTAGCAAGAGCTATCAACAAGTATAGCATAAGGTTTTGCTTTTGTCTTCAGATACTGTCCAATATCCATATTGCCTTTCAGACCACAGCATGGGAAGAATTTTTTCCTCACCAAACTATTTACCAATTTGTCTAATCAGAGAGCTTCCAGCTAAAGGATTTCTGTCTGCACATCTATACATTGGATAGCTTCAACTGAATGCAGACCCATTGACTACAATGAGTAATGACTGCTTATAGCATAATTCAGGTTGGAAATTACCTCAGGTGGTCTCCTAGTCCAGTCTTCTGCTAAGGTTAGTTTAACAACTCAGGACAGAATTAACTTCCCTATTTCTTTAGCATTGACCTGATTGGTCTCCTTCTTACACTTGCTGCCTTTTTTTAATCTGTTCCTCAGTATGGGCTTCTTGGGCATACCTGCTTCTTGGTTTCTCAGTAGTCACTGAGCATGTCTTTGGCTCCAGAGGTTAAAATGAGCTTATGTTTTGTAGGTTTTGTGGACAAAAACTAAACATACCACAGATATGAAAAAATATGACCCTTACTTCAGTAGAGCAATTAACAATACTACCTATTTACATTTATCTTGGCTTCAATCTGACCTGGGTTCTGCTTGTCTTTTCCTTGACCTTCTACTGATTAGTTGGAATTTCAGCTCCATCTCTGTTGCTGATGCCAGTCAGTGGGACTGGTATCTGACATCTAGTTTTATTTTAACAGGAAACTGAAAGCCTACATGCATATGCTTGTTTCTTTGGGAGCGTACCCACTGTGAAAAGACACAGTTTATAGAAACATGTTGTCATGCCTTCTGATTGACATACTTTGCCATTAAAGTACCAAGGAGCTGCTGAAGCAGAAGTGGCATCTTGCTCCCAAGACCTGGAACAACTCCAGTAATCCAGACACCTTGTACCATCATAGCACGCAGTTTTAGCATCACGGAGCTTTGTGACTAAACCAGACTTGTTTCCATGTAGATCTACAACTGGTTTTCATTTGCTTAAAAATAGTGCTCAGCATCATCTCAATGTGTTGTAAGAGTTTAATCCACTGAGTAACACTTTCATTTGCCACCATCCCTCAGTAACCATCATCTTTACATACCAGGGTCACTGTTCTGTGTTCCTGCTTCCAGAGGCAATGGCTATTCCCAAGCCTATATGACAGAGAGGTTTCATACAAACATCTAGTTGTTTGATGTGAACTAGATCTGCTGAAAGATTACTGTTATCTAATAGGCTGTGAGAGTTGATAAAGCACAAAAAAATTATATATTTACATAGCTCTGTTCCAGTGGTGTCAGCTGTGCATAAAAATCTTACTAATACTGAAAAACAGTCTTCTCTAATGCAACTTTTGTCAGCCTGCAGTGCTAAAACTGGAAGTCTGGGTTTCTATCGCAGAGATGTGAGCTTAGCTGATGAACCCCATGTCAGTCTCTGTGCAGTCACGGCTTAGTTACTGATGTGTTAGAGCAGCCACGTATACATCAGCTCAGTGTCCTCAATATCTGTACCATCTCAAAGACATGAATAACTTGTGTACCACAGGAGCTGTATACATTTACAACCTTCCTTTAAATGCCTGTTCTTCCTAAAATCAGGCAGTAATGGGTTCCTGTTCACATCCCAGCTACGGCATCACCAGTTGCTTTTTATACCTAAAGGTAATAATTGGTGTGTGGTGTCAGTGCACCCCTCTGGAATGTTTTCTACTAGCTAGATAGAATTATGTCTGCAGTTCAACATTAGTGAGCCCTTGGAAATTTCAGTCTGCATGGTAGATAAAGGCAAATGATCGTATTCTTCCATTGATGCAGTTACTGAATTATGCTGGCAGCTCAGAATCAGTGACTTCACTTCTTTTTTGAAATTGCTATTTAGGAAACCATAGATAACAGGGTTGACACAGGTGGAAGCCATAGCTACCAGGTGGCACAATGAGAAGATCAGATTGTGGTGGCAAGGTGAAATAATTTTGTAATTCCAGTCCACAATGGTGTTGAAAACATGCAGTGGTAGCCAGCAAACAGCAAAAGCAGCAACCATGGATGCTAATAAAATATTTATCCTTCTCAGCTGAACTGCTCGGTTGCTATATTCACTTTTCTCAAACATGTCCTTTCTCTTCTGTAGACGTAGGTAGATACGCAGGTAGCAGAGTATAATGAAGAACAGTGGGATGCAATATTGCAAGAGCAGTAAAGTGGTAGTGTAGATAAGTCTGTGTTGCTCAGAAGGCCATGAGTCAATGCATATGGCCTTGTCAGTAGAAAAATTCATGATGTGTGAGAGCTGCTCATACAAATCGTTAGACAAGATGGATGTGGTCAAAAATGGCAGGGACATGAGACATGCTAAAGTCCAAATCACTCCAATTCCTAGATAGGCTTGGGAGATGCTTGGCCTCCAGCCAGTTGGGTTTATGATGAGCTGGTGTCTTTCCAGAGCAATAAGGACAAGGGAAAGAATTGACACTGTCACAGATGTGCACTGAGTGAAAGAGGTCATTTTGCACATGACTTCCCCAAATATCCAGTAGTCCATCATGGTGTAAACAACGGTGAAAGGCAGACAGACAAGACACATAAACAAGTCTGAAATGATTAAGTTGGAAATTAGGATGTTGGTGACATTGGCCTTTTCCTTCTGCCTGGCAATGACAGCAATCAGACAGATGTTTCCCACGATGCCTAGGACAGTCTCCAAGCTGTAAGAGGTGGCCAGAAAGACTGTAAGGTCAGTGATGTTCCTGCACTGGTTAGAAATGTGCACGGGGAAGCTTCGGTTTGAGCTCCAGTTTTTATTGTTCAGGAAAGGAAAACCATCATTAACAGCCCTTGTCTTGTTCATCCTGAACCCAAAACTATTTATCTAAAAAAAAAGTGATAGTCAAACAGAATCTGGGTCTTCTGGAGCCAGCCTAAAAAGGGTTTTATCTGTTCTGTTTGGCTGTGGAAGATCTGGGTATATCTGCAAAGGAAAGGAAAAAAGATTGCTTAGTTATGCTGCAAGAAATTAGTCAAAAGGGGGCGGGGGGGAGGTGTGGACAGGGAAGCAAATGCCAGGGATTCTGTGTATATTCTGCAGGTCCCTTTGGTATGGTTTATTAGATGGAAAAATGGAACCCTTTTTGCTAAACTGTGGTATGGAACTCTGTGCAACCCTATTGAGTTATGACTCAATTGTGAGGTTGTCCCAAGGATTTAAGAACATCTTAACTTCATTATTTAACTCAGTGCAGTATCTTGAACATCATTAATGCAGTAGAGTGATGATTCAAGAAAGCTGGATCAAAACACACTTGGGGGTAAAAAATGTGTATAATTCTGGTTTTGCAAGGTTCTGATCCAAAACTGAGTAGAAGACACATTGTGGGGCTGTATTTACCTTCAACTGAGCTAAACATCAATGTGCAAAATAGGGAATATTCAGTGTATAAAGCAAACACTAAAACATATTGTGAGTTAATCTGTGAAATGCATTTGTGATTGCAGCTGAAACCCACGCTTGCTTGAGACAATTGCCATGCAAAAATTCAGGCTCATATCCTTGGAGGGATAAGATGGGACAATTTTGAAAAAGTCTAAGATAATTCAAAATAATTTCAACATTTTTCAGCTTCTACACAGCTGTGATAGGTCATGGGAACTGCAGTCCAAATTCCCTGCTTCCACATTCTGGATAAACTCCAGAGTCCATGAAGCATTGATGTCTTCCTCTGGGTGGCAAATGTGGCCATCACAACATTTATCAGAAATATAGTCCAGTCTCCTGATTTTGGCTTTAAGGGTGGGTGATTTTGACAATCTTTCTTAACTCCTTGTGAGAAGCTTCTTATTGATTCTACCTCAGCATAATTTTGCTTTTTTTCAACTAAGAGAATTCAAGTGTTGTAATAGTATGTGCTATCTCCTGGGTAATGTTCCTGTACAGGCAGATGGATCTGCTTCTTAACCACTGCTGCAAGCCCTGAGCTGGGATTTTCAATGGGATCTGAGGGAGCTTGAACCCACAGAGTTAATAGCAGTTTGCACGCTTTTGGAAATAATCAGCCATAGGACTGCTGGACTCTACCAGATGGCTCCTGGGAGGTTGTCATGATCAGAGACTGCTTTGTAATCCTGGCCCTGGAGCCCAAATCCTTTATGTCCAGGAATTAAAGAGGAAAAAAATCTGACTCTGCTGGGAGTTCTCCTCAGGCCAGAGGCAGTTTCATGCTGTACAAAGGCTTGTAATGTGAAAAGTAAATAAATACTTGGGGAATGACACTATTTACCCATTGCATGACCCTTTCCTCAGCAATAAAATGCCACTCAAACAAGTTTGTGGGGTTGTGAAAAACTTCTGTGCTTCAGAAAAACAAGTGGTCAAGATATGAATACATAAATAAAATGGTATAGTGAGCCTATCACATTGAGTAGCATTTACTGCTGAGCAACTGTATGCATATAGGTAACCAGTACTGTACAAAAAAAGCACCCACCATCCTACAATTTTTTGTTTGCTTTGTCTTTCTCTTTATGAATTGTATGCTTCTAGAGATGTTGTCTCTCAGGAACTAACGAAAGCACTAGTGTACAGTAAATAAAAAGATGTTTTGGGATTGTTGTTCTGCTTGATCAGCAGAAATTAGTATAATCGATTCTTTTGTTGCTTTGCTAGACCTGTTGATTTGTCTGTGTCATATGGATACAGATATACACAGTCAAGAGAGTCACACGAGTAAAATTTAGTAAACTTTTTTCCCTCTTGTTCTTTCATTTCCTCGGTAGTTTAAATCTTAATTAAAAGAGGGCAAGGGAAATTTTCAAAATTGTGGAGCTAGGTATGACTCTTTCTGTCCATTCACTTTTGTGTTGTTACTCAACTTGTGTGAACAGATTGATTTATTTTCTTAGAGGCAATGATGATGGATGGGTTGCAGTGTCACCTATGGGGAGGATATGGTGGTCTGTTTCAGTGTGAAAATGGATATAGAGTGAAAAACCACTAACCAACCCCTTAGCTTTTCATGATTGCTGGCCAGTAGAGATGCTGCAAATGAAATGGAGCAAAAGAGCAAAAACTATTGCAGCCTGCGATATTATTTGCTACCAGTCAAAGGAGCTCAGTCTTGGCATTTGGACAGGACAGACTCTGCTGTAAATGAACACATGAGCTTTTTACTACAGTCCCAGCTTAGTGTCCTTAGCTACAGCATTGTCGACAACAAACACATAGTTCTCTTTTGTTGCTTGAAAAATGTGTGCTGAGTTATTACAAACATCTGTGTCCTACAGAGTAAGCCCTCTTGAGGGTTCCAGACACTTTTGGACATGCTGAGGCATCAGAGAGGAGAACTAGTAATGTTGAAGTAAAAAAAAGAAAGTAGTAGAGCCACCTGAGAAGCAGAAGCCAGATCCCACAGCTTTAAGGGGCACATTCCCAAGAGGAATGCCAAAGGCAGGGCATGGCTGCGTGTTTGTCACAGATGGCAATCGCAGTGGGGATAAACAGCGTCTCTGAAAGTTCTGCAGTGTGTTTTATTGGGTTAAGAGCTCCCTCTCTTCTGATACCTTGCGTTCCATGGTGTCTCCTACAAGATGACTATCAAGCACTTTTTGGGCATTCATACTCCTGGAACTGCCCAGCGGTAAATACAGAATTGTCACCCTCTTGTCACAGATAAGGGGACTGAGAGAGGGAGGTGAAACATAAGAGTTGCTCAGTGTCTCAAGGAAACCCGTGGTGCACTGTGCAGGACTTAAAACTGCCTGCCAACCTGATGTCTTGGGAAAAGACAGAGCCTAGATCACCAAGTCCATAGTTCTCTGTATTTCTTATTCTGGCACCATTAATGTTAAAACTAGTTCTAGAAAAATAGAAAAAAAAAATGTTGCGGTGGCCTTATACTTACGTATCCATCCTTGGATGGCACATTCTCAAGGTCAGTCACTACTAAATGCTGTGTTGTCTCAAAGTGTTTCACTGCTAATCAGTTTGGTCTAAATTAAAAGCCAGTAATAAAAAATGTGTACTTACTCTGCTTAGACGTTTGAATCAAATGTTAGCTAATATAATGAATCACCAATGCAGTGGGAAAAAGGGTGTTAGACCCCTCACTGTGTCGAAGATTTGTTCCTTGCCCAGTAAAATATAGCAAAAACTTTGTAGGCTAAAAAACCAGGTTTTGTCTCCAGAAAGTGAAGCAATACTTATTTGGCTTATAGGAGCAAGAATCATGCTTCCTAAATCAGTTTGCAGAGGGAGTGGAGGGAAAAGTTGGATTGTTTTTGTTTGCTTGTTTGTTTTTAAAGAGGAAAGATTAATCCTGTTCAGAACACTTAATGAACTTCAGGAAAGAGGTCAGTAACAAAAGCTAACATGCTCAAAAAGCAAAGGTTTTCTTCTCTGATGCAGCTTGAGATAGTTTCTCTAAAAAGTGAGTGTCACAGAGGTCTGCGGCAAATTAATAGGATTCAGAAGGAAAAACAGAAGATTTTGGATTTAATCTTAGTGGAAGCTAAATTCCCCACTTAGATCTTCTATAGACATTCATCACACTGCTGTCCATGTTGGAAGCAAGGAAGAGGAGCAGGTAAGGTCTAAAGGGTTTGTCTTGCTGAAAAACACAGCCCTCTAAACTAACAAATGTCACTCAAGTTGTCTCAAAAAAGGAAACTATCACTAGTCAGCAGGGTGGTTGGAACTAAATGATCTTTGAGGTTCCTTCCAACCCAAACCATTCTATGATTCTGTGAAAAAGTTATATATGTTAAAAATTTCTAAAACCTGCATAATTAGGGTATAGCACAAGTTGTGTGCATTAATATGTTACACATCTATAATATTGGGAGATGGTATAAATTCCTAGGAAAGTTTTTCTCCCCTCTCACATCTACATGTTTTCAAATGGAAACCTTTTAGGAAGTATGAACTTATATTACAGGTTAACCTTCTCTGATCCTGCAGAAAGAAGGGAAGTTTTACAAAAGCACCTCCTCTGGCTTCTTATTATCTGGTTAAATTCATAACAACCTTACCAAAGACATGGAGCCAGCTCACAAAGATAAAATGTGACTAGCAGGTCAGCACACTGGAGAATGCTAGTTAATCTCTGATCCCTTAAGAGTAAAGGCCATTGTGACTTGTCCTATAGCCAGGAGAAAAAAATTATAATTTTACAAAAATTATATCTTTATCAAAGTAGGTGGGGAATTCATAAATCACTGTAACGGGCACCTCAGCAGACAGCCTGCTAGGATATTTGGAGAGTGACGTGATGCGTACTGCCAGAAACTGCATGGGTTGGGTGAGGAACGAGGAGTCTTGGGGACCAGGAGATAAGAAGTATTTTTCTCTGACCAGTGGTAACCAGGACCATTCTGTCACACCACAAGGTGGCAGGAAGCACACCTGAACCCCGAAGATCCCCCAAGAAGTTGCCATCTCCCTCTTGCACCCTGGAAGGTTGCAAAGCTCTGCTCCATAGATACAAGGGTTGGGGTTTTTTATGACAAGTCAGACTGGATCCATTTGTCAAAAGTAGTCACCTGCTTGGTAGAAAATGCTGATTCAGTGTACCCATACTCTGTGAACATTTCATGGAGCCAAGAGATGTCCCTTCAAATGCTTTTTCTGAATCTGATGGAGGAAGAAGAACCTAGATAATCATTGGGCTCCATTGAGTTAAACACCAGGTTTGGTATCATCATCTCCTGTGGTTCAAGCCCTTTAGTTTATTAAAAAAAAAGCTTAGGAATTTGTTTCCAATGAAAAAAATATGTTGCATTCATACCAAACCCACTTTTTTTTTTGCATCTGAAAATGCCTTCTTTCCCTCAAAAAATCCCATCTTTCAAAACTACACT